TTAAGAGCAAGTTCATTGTTGTTTCTGAGTTGGAAGAGTTTCGTTTGCCATCGGTTCTCAAGTGTGCATGTTGTGAGCAAGTCCAGAGTTGAGTCTGATTGCAGAGGATATGATGCAGAGAAAATTGTAGCTGAGGATACCTTTCGTACAGGTCGTAGAGGGAGACCGCAGAAACGGTACAAAGTTAGATTTGCTTATCAGAACCCAGCGAAGAGAGCTGGTTCACCAGGGACGAGTTAGTTCAAACAGTCCCTCATATTGTGTCATACTATGAGCGGGCACGGAGAGGAATGAACATCTATGATCGTTGAAGTTCTGATTTTTCTCGGAGGACCTCGAAATTAGGCCGGCGGGAGTGAATGGATTCACACTGCCAATTTTCTCAGACCCTGTTCCAGGGTCCCCAATTATTGCAGTCCCCAAACCCTACCGGTAGCTGAGTCTCAGGGTCTGTAGTTAGGCGCCGCAGGTTAGTGAGTACGGTACCTGTAGGAGCATGCCAGTCCCCAAACCTGTAGGAGCATGCCAGTCCCCAAAGTCCAAAATTTATAGCAGCCTACCAACGGAAGTTGGGAACTTTCCCAAAATAGCAACTTGGCAAGGCAGAGGCCGAAGGAGGCCAGTACTGATTGAAGCAGGCACACCCAGCCCACTTCAACTATATATTTTGGGCTACAGTGCCGGAGGACAGTGAGTTGTCATTTCGTAAATTTGTGGAAGCTGTTGGAGCTTGTGCGGACTAGCGACCTGGATGAAGAAGTGCGCCGAAGGGAGGAAGAAGACCAGCACCCTGGCTGCGACAGACCACCACAGCCAGGAGAGGGGTCCATAGCCGCCCGTTGTTGTGAGGCACAGCGCGGAGACATTCAGGGTAGATCCAGGACATTGTAGAGGGAGGAACATCAGCAGGGAGCATCGCGGGATGAACAGTGCAGAGATGTGAGTGGAGAGATAGAGAGTAAGAGAGGGAGAGAAGAACCAGATCGGAGGGGGAGAAAGTTGGGTACTTACCGGAGTGTGTTGCAGCGGTTGAGACCGCCCAGTCCCGAACTTTTTTAATTGTATATTATTTGTACTTTGAGTGAAATTTCGAATTGGCACTGTTCATGGCCATAGCCCAAGCTTGTGAGTTCTTTATCTGAATGCTCCCAATTTGCATGTGGTACTTTGAGTTGGATCTTACGGGGATCATTGCATGATCCTGAGGGACACTTGCATATAATTTGGATTCCTGGTCCGGGTCAGGTTGATGCATCATACAGATCCAAAGGAAGATCAGCAGTTTACAAAGGAGGAGCTGATGAAGACGGCGCCTCAGATTGTGTCCCAATACGAAAGAAGAATAAAGGGGAAATATAAAGTTGACTAGCAGCTTCTCAGAGGGTATCGAAGGAATGGAGGAGGGAGTCCGAGGCATCGAGCGATTGGCAGAGCCCCGTAGTCAGTATCGCACCCGCCCTAAGTGAAGGCGGCCCAGAAACTTGTGGAGGGCTTTTTTTCTTGCTGTTTCTCAAGCTGAGCCGCTCACCAGTCGGTTTACATCCACGGGGGGATGCTGCACTTGGCCTCCCATGCCTGAAGTTGCACAAAGGGCCCGATGTGGCCGAAGGTCTCTGAGCCAATGGAAATGCAGGAGCCAGCAGCAGCCACCTCGGGTAGTTGGGCGCTGCAACCGACCGGGCCCAGGGCACATTCCAGAACGGCCCTGGGCGCAGACACTACCGGTAGGCACAGCGGCGAAGCAACTGGGTACCACATGTGCACTTAGGCAGGGCCCGTGCAGCAAGCCACTTTCCATAAATAAAAGTGTCGGCCTCCAGTCCAGACATTCTGGCTGGATGCTGCTGCGTGAGCACTGCTTGAGCACACACTCACTGAAGGCAGGGTGCTGGCCAGGGATACAACACGCACACGGGTGCTGGGTTCGAGGCTGCTGGATGCAGCAGAACACGGATGCCATAGCCAAGCTGCTCGCACTTAGCGGGTGGGGCAGGCAGTGGTCCTTGGGCGATGGTGAAGAGCCTGTGAGGGAGAGTCAGCGGATGAGAGAGAGAGAGAGAATGGACATACCTGGTGTGTTGTGGAGGTCTGCAAGGGCAACGCCTTCATGTACATCGGTCTGCTGTTGAGATGCTGCTGGCTGCATCACGTAGTTGTAGGATAGAACAGGTGTTGGGAGATGTAGACTGGGCGCCAGGCGCCATACAGAAGAGCAACATTGGATACATTGTAGGTGGAGGTGACATGGGGCTGGCATTGACAATTGAGTTCGTTGCTTTGCCCTTATTTGCTGTTTGTACCATGGAGCATTCTGCTTTCTGCTCGACACACGACTAACTGGCTTTCTATGTGTTGGTGCGATTCGGTTTTCTGTCATTGGCTTTCTTGCTCATTTTCCTTGCAATTTCATTTTTTGAAGGTTATTCATTTTTAATCACAATCAACAAATTCATCTGTGCTTATGAGCAATCGAGGTAGAATTGGAAATCTTTGATAAAATTTTCACTCTAAAATAAGCATATGCAAATTGGTTGGGGGATGCCCACTATGTTCTTCCTCTACTTACCTGTTCTGTTTTAGGAGTCTTTACCCCTCTGGTGGAGATCATTGTATGAGCACGTCCGATTGTCACCACGCCAAATACACATTTGAGCCACATCGAGTTTGCAAAGTTGAACCCACGAACCTGTTGCAGTGAACAAGCAACCAGAGTCCAGTCAAATCAAAGTGGTCACCAAAGCAAGTCAGAAAACTGATCCGGCATCCAATCTACATTTAGAGACGAGGAAAGGAATATGCAAGGAATATGAGTGAGAGGATATACAAAAAAACAAGTTGCAAAATCACGCACAAGTCCAGATAGTCATGTGACAAGCAGAGAGCTCATATGCACCAAGATTCCATCCAAATGTTATGTACCCAATTGAACTTCAATCCACAACGAATTCACACGTTCCCATACACACATGCAATTGCAGAGTAGACTCGA